TATGTAACTCGGTCGGTATGTGTTTTTTTTATTCCCCCTCCCTGTATACTCGGATTCCTGAGATCGGGTAGGCGTGGCTGCGTACTTGATTTTAAAATGGCGGCGACCCAGGTTTTCGTGAGATATTGTCATTTTGGAGCAGTCGTCATGTCTACATCTAACATAGAACAAGATAGCAGTTGTTTCAAATTGAAGTATCCCACGAGAACCCGTCCTATGCCATGCTCAAAAGCCACGCCTACTCCGTCTCAGGGATAAGGAGTGTACTTTGGTGTCGAAAGAACATAGTTAAAAAAATACCTTTCCAATATTGTAAACATCATTGCGACCCGTGTCAACTTCGTATAAACCATCATCCGTGTTGTTTTGCTGAAAATCTGTACTTGTGCTGACAGCATGAAGAGTTCCAAAACGAATAAAGAAGGATTTACGAAAAACGTCGTACCCCATAGAAAAATCCAATGCGATCCGGAATCTTAGCACCTACACATAGCGCTTTCAAGAAGGGAGTTTTATCGCAAACTGCAGCGAGCAATGGATCTTTGTAACCATCGTACAATGCTTCTTTCACACTAACCTAAACGATAGGCACTTTAATGGCAATTGTTATTAATGATACAATACACAACGTAATACAAATTTTCGGAAATAGAGCCATAGAGCCAACTTACTTCAATGAAAGGGGACTCCCTCTTATAAACCGTCAGGACAGCTTCTATGGCAAACTTTGCAGCGAATCCATGTTGTGCGAAGTCCACCAGTTTCTAAAGGCAAAGGCTTAGAAAACAAGGGTATACTGGCTAACTGTAAGTAATTCACCTGGAATATAACATTTGGAATTATAACATGTTTATCGAGAGAGCAACTGGCACATGATAGTGATTCATTGAAGGTATAAACATGGTTGTTTCGATAGAAAACCCTTGTGTCGTTTTTATCGAACTGATAAGGTGACTTATACTGACGTTCTCTGAAAAGAAATGGATGTCTCTGAGCTATGTTTGTAGGAAACCGCTGAAATCGTACAGGAATGTAAACGGTCCTATCTCTTGCACCCTTGGTTTTGCTCCACGAAGAACTTCCTGCGTGATTCGTCAAATTGAACATCCAGATTTGTACTTGCATATGATATTCCGGATGTACCCATTTTTCCGTCATCGGGTTCAGACGTCTGGTACCGTTCAAGTCCTCATAGCCCAAACGATCCCTCTAAAAAACGTTTTCAACGAAAATCATTCAGGATAGTAAGACTAGGTTCAGTTTTCGGTAATGTGGAGAATTCGCCGATTTGGAGAATCTGTGAATCGAGAAAATGCTCCCAGAGGAAAGTTTACGTATCGATCTGGCGAATTCGCAAACTTGAAGACAACTCGAACTTTTGAGCATGGTCCTCAGGAACTATGCAACCCGCACAGATAGAAGGCAGCGGCTAAAATGTGCAAGGAATATGTGGCGATCCAGAATATGGGCTTTTTCAAAGGGAACGGACTCCGGGGTGGGTGAGCCATTTATTGTTTGTGAAAAGCTAAGTGTGCGCTTACATTGACTATAGAATGCCATACGGATGACTTAATGC